CCATAGACATCTACATTTATCCTCGTTTGCGAATCAAAATGCAAATGCGTTGTCACCCCTTGAGGACTAAGATGAAATGCCTCTTTTCAAGTAATAAGGGTCTCCGGTTCTCTACACTCACCATACGAAACACAGCAGTGTTAAGCTGCTATTTTACGCTGGTATTCCGTGAGAGCGTGGTCCTTCCCCGGTCGAGCCGACCCATTCGTCCTACAACTATACTACATAATATAGCTGCAGCATGGCTCTACCAAGTATAATATATATGAGAACAATTTGCGGACTGATCAGGACGAGGAAATTATGAACGCCCTTTCTTCTTCGTGCTTTGCATCGTTTTTCTGTTCTCATCATTAAACATATGTATGGTCAAACATTTGAATCTGTCATTGTATACTATGGACAACTACGGAAATATTAAATTTTGTTGGCCCTCCTGAACAAGTTGTCCGCCTTGTTGTGGCCGTGACCTTGACGTGGCCGCTCCAAGTGGGTTTGGCAAACTTCGGATGTATTTTGGTGGACTATGGCGCAAGCGACTTCTTCTCTCCTTCTCGCCATACTCAAAATAGAATCGTGGAGGAATAACCATATCTCACCGCTGGGGTTGGGAAGTCTGGTTATGAGCGCTCATTTTTCTGACCCCATGGCCTCCGCGTGACGAGGGGAAGAGTGGGGAGAGGGGAGGCTTGTAGGAAGGCGGGCGATAAACTTAACTCCGACCGCATGGGCAGTTTCCACGAGCTTGTCAAACTTTATTTATTTATTTAATACAGTATATCCACACATTTATAAAGTCCACTGCTGGACATAGACTCCCCCACCGCTGACGTACCTCCATTGGAAACTATATACGCTTGGCAAGAGGTATGCCAACTGCACTTTTTATTATTTTGCTTTGTTATTAGGAAGATACTGGAACCCATATCCTGTTTTATTTCTTTCTCCCGCGTCTTATGACACCTACAAGATGATATGGGATAGGCACTGATATCGTTTACTCAGCCGCTAAACGAGGATTTACATTTTATCATAATAATAGCATTTTGACAATCTTACAAAACATGCGTATGAAAAAAAACCACTAATAAAATTAGTATGAAGTAACATATACATAAATATATACATTAATTATTTGACACCGGTATTGTGATTTTCTGGTGTTTCCGCAAAGATCCTGGATAGTCAATCCTCTTCCACGTAACTCCAGCTATTTTCCGAATATCATCCTCCCATCTATGACGCTGACTCCCTTTCTTCCTTCTGTTTTGTCTTGGGCACCACTCAGTTACGTCCTTAGCCCTTTTTTTTGTTACTCCTCATCATATGTATTATACCACTTCCATTTTAAAAGCTTTTATTAAATGTATGTTTGTTAGGGTCAAATCTTGCAACTGAATGTTAAACCAGTTATTATCAACCAATTGAGCTGAAATTTTTCATACATGTTTAGTTTGGATGACAATGCATGGTTAGTTAAGTAACGTCATACTAAATCCACTTTGGCGGACGACTCACGATGGCTCTTCTACGGACTCCTATGGTATGGATATCAAATGGAAGGGTTTGCTGAGAAAAATACTAAAATAATTTAAAATTTGAAATTTTGTACAACCGACTTCAATATATATTATTAAGGATAACTCAAAAATTGTTGGTCAGACCTTGATCAAATTTATATAAGACCACTTTAAAAGCACCAGCTTTTAAATAAAAAAGGAATCATCGAAATCGGTTCACGTAGAACAAAGTTATGAGGTAAATACACATAAAAAACATTAAGTCGAATTGGGTACCTCCTCCTTTTTGAAGTCGGTAGATAAAATGATGTCACTCTAAATCCAGTATAATGGACACCCAAAAATAATGACTGTCTATAAAGATCAGGTTTTAGCCAAAGAAACTCTACTTCCTAAAAACTTGAAACCATTCCAGGGCACGTTAAATGTTCATCTAATACTTGATTAAATACCTAAAAGAACTAAATTATCTTACGACTGTATGATAATTTAGTTTTCTTTCCCGTTTAGGTTTTTTTGTACCCGTGGTATCGTGCCAAAAACGCTAGCTGCGTGTCTTCGCTGAATGGCTCTATACTCAGTATTTGGGCGAGAAAATAACCAGCTCTCTTATCTTACCAGCAGCAACGATCAGTCGCGGACAGAGTTCCTTTAGGAACTTTATCGCACCTAGACCCCACGGACCGATAGTCTCTACAGCATATGGCACAAGTATGTAGTCATCTCTCAGAGACTCATATTTGCGCCACTTACTCAGTTCAGCTGCCTCTAAGGCCGCCCCAGCTCTAAACGAGGTACACCTACCTTTAACTCTCTCCCAAGGGACCAATGTCATACCATCGGGTATCTTGCCATCGTCTCTAAATATTTCACAAGGCTCTAAAACCGAGGTAAAATTTATAGAGACAAGAGCCTTTCGGATGACATCGTTCAAAGAACCGTGCCGTGAAAACCTACGAACACTTTTCATAGATAAAAGTCCGTGGAGCCCAAACTCGTCGACCACAGGGGAACTGATGAACATTACAGTAGTTGACAAAGCGCCGCTCCTATTCGGATTCCTACGGCGATGCGCAAGCTTTTCCCATTAAGTAATGTGCCGAGATTACTTGATGGTAAAGCGTGTAACCAGTGACTAGATTCATTAGTCGAAACAGCTAGAAGGCGTGCCTGATCTTGGTTACTATGGAAATTATGAAACAAATCTTTCTGTGTTTAGCAGTGGTTATGACTGAATAAAAAAAAGGTAAAGAAATATAAACAAAATCATTTGCCTATATGCTTTTTAATTTTTTATCGATAATTTACCTTTATATTCATAATCATAATATAATTTTATATCAACAAACGCGATACAAATTATTGTACGTTGTAGAGCCATGCTTCAACTGTATGCCGAACTGTACCTCGTGAAAGCCGAAACAGATAAACGTACAAAATATCTGGACCTGGCTCACGAGGTGACCGACATGTGGGGCGGACTGCCGGACGAAATTATACCTGTAATCGTTTCTACGAACGGGTTAATCAGTCAGCAATCTGGGGTCATCTGAGGCGACTGGGACTCCGTGACGGACCGCTCCAAGCTCAAATACGGAAAGCGGTGCTCCTTGATACCGCCCGCATCGTCCGCCGGTTTCTTTCCCTTTCCGCCTAACCCTCGGCCGTTTGGTCTCCCCTGCCGAGGGCTTCCATATGGTTGGGTTTTTATTTATTTATATATTTTTATGTATTTATTTTATTGTGTTGATATTTATGTATGTTTATCATTTTCATTTACAATTATATATTTATACAGCCCAACCAGATGATAAAACTTTATAGATACCCCTCATAATATTAATAAGTTCTTTTTCCAAAAGCTAGTACAACCAGATATTTGCTTAACACTTAATAAAGCTAATTTAGTACATATATCTGATACATAGCATCTGCAGCCGAACTAGGAGAGCTGTGCATCAGCTTTATGAATGTAGCAATGGGTTGGTTCGACCGGGAAAGGACCACACTCACACATAATACCAGCATAAAATATCAGCTTAATGCCGATGTGTTTCGTATAGTCAGTCTAAAGAACCGTACACCTTTTTTACTGGAAACGGGGAATCGCATCTGCATTTAAATTCTTAATCTAAGATAGAAAGTAGACAGCAGATTTTGCGGGCCGCAGCATCTAATTACCATCGGGTGACTGCGTGCTTGTCTTTAAAAAAAAATTGTAAATACCAAAATACAATCCTAAAAAATGTTTTAAACCGGTACTGTAGGAAAAACCTTTTCTGCGTTAATTGGAAAATTTTCCCAGTACAAGGAAATTACAGCATAGCGTAATATTCATCTAGCGAAATAATTGTCATAAATTGATGGCTGATATAGCTTATGATTAATTATACGATATTATTTCCTTTGTGCAACTAACACGTAATAACTATGACGATGTTTGTCTGGTACACAAAAAAAAATTACTTATTGAATAAAACTATTTTTAAGTATTTGATCGCATTTAGTTTCATTTATTTTTGATTGTCGACGTTTCGAGTGCTTGACAGTACTTATAGAGACGGGAAAGCTGTGGACATAGGGGTCCTCCCTAACGTCCTGATGTAATATTTTATTTTCAATCAATTTGGGCCCTAAAAAGGTTTGAGCCTACTTAGGTCTCACTCGTGGTTTATAGGTTTCCTCTCATTTCTGAGAGATTTTTTGGGGCAAGGAAGTGTCCACCGGTGCATATAGGTTTCCTCACTATGTTTCCTACGCCGGCGAGAACGTGGTAAAGCAGCACCTAATATTGCATTTAACAATATCATTTGTGCCTGCCGGAATCGAATTTATCAATCATTAAAGTTTTATCATGTGAACTCAAGTTGCTCGCGTACTGTAAATTTACAGCGAGTGCTTATTCCCTGAGCTAGTAAATTTACAACTGTAATAACACGTATTAATGTGTAGTATTATAGTAAATATAAAAAAAATATTTGTTTTGTAGTCCGAAGTCTTTAGCCTGCAAGAAAATATTTTCCACAAACTAGTTTCAAAATGCGCTTTGTGTAAGCTTACGCACATCGTTGTGTACAAATAAAACCCAGTATCGTTATCCCTGTCAGAATAAAATAAAAAAATGTTGTTGCTACTCAAGTCGTTATAATGGATCCAAACATACCAAGACGTGTATCCGGTTTATGGGAATAACCATATTTAGATACACATGTACGTGAGCGGACTTCGCAAATTGACAGGTGTATACCATAATAACACTGCAAAGTTTTACAAACAATAACTCAATAAATTAGTAAATATCTTAGGCTCATACGCTAGAATACGATGGAAAAATGTTTTTGTAACGTCATCGTGAGAAGAAGACGTTCTACGAAATATCCTGCGACAGACTGATTTAGCCGTCAATCTATGACGTTTATGGCGTCGGAAAAGCCGAAGTATAAATAGGTTTGCACGGTGTGTCCTGCGCCAGTGATCACGATGGGAGTTAGTGGTGTAGTGTTGAGCGTGCTAGCGCTAGCTGGCCTAGGCTGTGCTACAATTGGTGACAATGCTCTCGACACCGGAGAGCGAGTGCTGCTAGTTGCACCAGTTTTAGCACCCCCAAAGGACTCAAAGACGCACGCTAATGATCGGTCGAGACAGTTCCCGATTTTAGTGCTCCTATCTCAGCAGAATCCATCAGCAAATGTGCGCGAGCCCGCTGCTAAATCATTAGGAATCAACCCTCAACCAATTTATGTACAGGTAACTTGAGCGTTCACTGTAAAGAGAAAACATTTAAATTTAGTGGAATTAATAAAATAAACATTTATTTTATTAATGTTTTAATATAAAATTAACTTATAGCTGCAAATTAGTTTTAAATAAGGAGCTTATTTCCTTGATAATATATAACCCTATTATCGGTTTCAATACAATAACGCACGTGCAGCAAAGCTCTGGTAGAAAAGGGTTTTTTATTTATATGTGAAAAGGAGTTCGGCATTCTTTTAGTAACAAATTCATACAAGATAAATATATCTATAATAAGAATATTTAAAGACGTAAAACTTGTGCCTGAGAAGCAAAGAAATCGAGTTCCTTTTTTCGGTGTCAATTACAGACGGTCACTGGTTTTATGCTAAACAAGTTTATATTTGGAGTTTTGGCGGGAACTTAACAGCCGGCGGATTGTTGCTCTTGTAATATCATCTAAATAACGGTTTGAAGTGGATTTTGATACGTAAAAGATATCCGTTTTTATGTATTAACGTTCTGTGCATGTGAACTATTAGTAGAAATGACCAAACAAATGCTCAGATGGTAACCTAAAATTCGAGTTATTGTGTCTGCGAAGGCACCTTGAGATACTATCGTCATCGACTGTGTGCTGGCTCAAGCTGCCGTCAAAATTCCCCAAAAGCTTCGCAATATGATGCACCAACATATTGTAAAGAAGTTTTTAAATGAATCATTAAAAGGAATAATTTTATAATACTTGACACCGGCGAAAATACAACTGTACGAATCCCTTACTAAAGAAACAAAGCTTACATCCTCTCTTTAACGACAGTTGCAGTTGTAATTTCAGAAAGCTTCAGCGGTTACAGCTCGACGATGATAAATGAGTCAATTAGGATATTTTGTTTTATATATATAATATATATATATATATATATATATATATATATATATATATATATATACTACATAGATAATAAAAAATAACTTGAACAATTATTGCTTTAAACAGAAACTAGAAGACCAAGAGAAATATAAGCCAGTCCACCAAAATAGACAGAAGAGACATCTTCTAAAGACGGCTCTCTTCGGTCTAGGCAGTGGTGGGTTTTCACTTGGTGGAGGCTTTGGTTATGGAGGTGGATATGGAGGCGGGCATGAAGGTGGACATCATGACCGATCTAAGACCATCTACATAGTGAAAGAGCATGGTAAGAAATTATTATTATTATTGGTCGTCCTGTGGATGTACCTATATACAGGGTTATTTTGCCATAACCGGCAAATTTGCAGAGAAGGTTCGGAATAAGTAACATAGGCAAGTGGTGAAGAAAATTTAATTTAAAAAAGTCAAATATTATGTCCTTTTTATCCTTTAAATTCAAAATGCGTGGTAATGCATTATTTGTAACTGAATTTTACTACGTAAGGGTCGACCGGTAGGCAAAAACGTTGTTGCTCATAAATCACATTCAATTTGGGATAATTCAAATAAAAGTAGAAGCCTTAATCACTCGTATTTTCAAAAACTGCAATACAGGTATATCATTATTTATATAATTGAACTTAAGTTTGGAATTTGGCTACTCTTTGATCCGTGGGGGTGCTTTTGGATATTATGTGATTTTGTTCATGTAATCCTTTTCAAATAAAACTAATTTCGTGCATTTCATCGCGTTTAATTACTATGTGCCCCTTACGGATCGGACAATGTGACATATTATTATATATAACAAGCCCTGTGCTCAACGCGGAACATTCTACAGCTATGCTGCAGCTATATTAATTGTATAGTTGCAGCACGAATGGGTCGGCTCGAAAGGAAAAGGACCACGCTCTCACAGAATACCAGCGTAAAAAAGGAACTTAATGCTGCTGTGTTTCGTATGGTGAGTTTAGAGCACCTGAGCCCCTTTTTACTGGAAAAGAGGTATTCCATCTTAATCCTCACGGCTGACAACGCATTTGCATTTTGATTCGCAAACGAGGATAGACGTAGATGTCTATGGGCTACAGCAACCACTCACCATCAGGTGGAATGTATGCTCGCTTGTCACCCTTATCCTATAAAAAAATGGCAGCGCATAAAATATAATTTTTATACATTAGATATACACACTAATTCAAAAATTCATTCAATGTCAATTCATCAAAAATCATCAATTCAATCATTATAATGACTGGAAATTAACTTTCCAGGACATGGTCGAGGTTATGGTGGTAATTACGGTGGTTACGGCAGCAACTACGGTAGCTACGGAAACGGAGGATACGGCAGCGGGAACGGCGGTGGTTATGGCGGAGGATATGGTGGCGGCTTCGGGGGCGGTTTCGGGGGTGGCTATGGAGGAGGTGGCGGCGGTGGTGGGGGCGGTGGCGGCGGCGGCGGCGGCGGTGGTGGCGGAGTCTACGGAGGCGGTTATGGCGGTAACAACGGTGGTTATGGCGGTAACAACGGTGGTTATGGCGGTAACAACGGTGGCTATGGAGGCAACGGTGGCTACGGCTCGCCTGGACAATCCGGCGGTGGCTGCGGCGGCGGTTGCGGCGGCAACTACGGGCACAATGGCGGCGGTGCCACAGCATCAGCGACGGCCACCGCCACGGCGCACGCTTACTCAGACGGGTGAGTAGCTCAATAAACAAGATACGCGGTTAAACACAACAATGAAACATAAACAATAAAAAAACTGATTATAGAACTATAAATGACTGTTTGCAACCTAACGCAAATAGAATAAATCTTATTTTATTATTACTTACAAACAACATCGACTGATGCAATTAGTTACAAGGTATTTGTAACGTATCTATTGTAGCTACACAATAAGTATAATCTTAACATCCTCCTACGTTACTTTGTTTTAATAAATAAATCATTATAATATTATTCGGACTTTTTAACAGTGGTAGAGCCACGCGGCAGCTTTTGCTGTCGCACGGATGGGCCGGCTCGAACCGGGGTGGTACCACGACCTCACAGAAAACCAGCGTGAAGTAGAGGTTTATCTCTGCGTTTCGCTTGGTGAGTGCAGGGGGCCGGAGGCCCTTTTTACTGGAAATGAGGCATTCCATCTTAGTCCTCACGGGTGACAATGCATCTACATTTTGATTTGTAATAGAGGATACATGTAGATGTCTATGGGCCACAGCAACCACTTACCATCAGGTGGACTGTGTACTCGTTTGTCACCCTTATCCTATAAAAAAAAACTATTAGTATAATCAATTTTAGCCGATTTAAAAAAAGGAGTTTTATAATCTGACTGTATGTTTTATTATATTTTTTTTTTGAATTTGGTATCTTTGTCAATTGTGAACCAATTATGATGATAATATTTTATTAAATATTTATTCTAGGGTGATTTTTTTTCCTAAATATATGGGAATATATTTAGGAAAAAAATTCACTCCTAAGGGTGACTAAATAGGGGATGAAGACTCTAATGTAACTTTTTGTGAGACAGAGATTGCGTTAGTCAATACCGTTAACATTACAGCCTATTAAATACCACTGAACACAGGCCACCCCCTTAGATTGCCTCATAGGGGAGATATTTTTCATAATTGCCACGCTTGGTAAGCGGGTTAGGAACCACAGTTTATTTTTTTTTTTAGTCGTTATTAGGAAGACACTGCTGCGTATCCTGATTTGTTTTTTTTTTATTGTTCAATCTCACAAAACCAAAAGCGATGCTTCTTCTTCACCATCATCAGCTCGTAAAAATCCACTGTTGACCAATACGATTCTTTAGTTATGTGGTGTGTTCGACCAACAAACCTATTATTGATTATTTATTTTTTAAATGAAAATGGCTGATCAGAAGAATATTAACAATCGAAATCTGAGCATAGGCCTTCTCTCATTTTAACAGTGTGAAAATTTATGCTTACTCCAGTGCGAGTTATTTATATAAAATTAAATATTTTTATTTACCTGCTGGCTTTACCTTTGTCTTTACCTTTACAGGCTATCGAAAGTCCACTGCTTAACACAGGCCTCCCCATAGATTGCTTCATACACAAGTTTCTTGCCCGCAGACTTTTATACAATGTTTTATCATGCTTTTGGATAATTATTTTAACAGGACATAAAATTGCATTTTACTGTAAAACTTGAGACGATCGCCTTACTCATGTCATGGTTTTAAGCATTATACTTTTATAACCGTTTGTAGTGACGCCCACCGTGTAGTGACGGTGTTAGAATATCCACTATCTCATATCGTTCCATGAGTATCTTAACACTTTCACTGTCAGGTTTTCCTACATGTAGTGAACGGGACAGCGGAAGGGTTAAGAGGCGAAAGAGTGAAACAGCAGCAGTAGATAGACAGCACCAGCAGATAGACAGCAGCATCTTCGTGATAACAACTCAAAATAATAAAGACTGCGGTTGCCAACCCGCATGCCAAGCGTGGCAGCTATAGCAAAATCTCCCTATGAGTCTATCTATGGGAGAGACCTATGTTCAGCAGTGGACTTTCATAGGCTACAGTGGAATGGATGGAAGGAAAGGAACCGTTTTTTTTATAGGATAGGGTGACAAACGAGTACGCAGTCCACCTGATGGTAAGTGGTTGCTGTGACCCATAGACATCTACATCTATCCTCGTTTGCGAATCAAAATGCAGATGCGTTGTCACCCGTGAGGACTAAGATGGAATGCCTCTTTTCCAGTAAATAGGGTCTCCTTCTCCATCCACTCACCATACGAAACACAGCAGCATTAAGCTGCTATTTTACGCTGGTATTCTGTGAGAGCGTGGTCCTTCCCCGGTCGAGCCGACCCATTCGTGCTACAATTATACCCGAAATATAGCTGCAGCATGGCTCTACCGCGTACTACCACGTAATAGATGGTAGAGCCATGCTGCACGTTTGCTGCTTATTAGCATAATATATTAATCTACTTTTATAATCTTACAAAAATTTTAATTAATTTCCAAATCATTGAACCTATCTCATATTTTAAGTAATATGTTTATGTGTTATTTTCAGATACGGCAAACGCAAGCGCTAAAATTTGTAACGGAGGTTTACCAACGATGATACAAAAGACTTACTGAAATGAGAGTGAACTTTTTTCGTTTAGCTTTCGCTGCGTTAAATGCGTGAAAATGAAACCTTCACTAACAGTGTTATACGTATTAAAAGGACTCGTAAGCGGGCTATAAAATTGCATCTTACTGAAAACTATTACTCAACGGTGCTTCAACTGTATCGCTGAGCAATTGAGTTCATTATCAACATTGAAGCTATAGGCTAAGCAACATTGCACTGTGTTGCACGATATAGACGGCAACGTGACGGATACTCCATTGCAGCTAGAAATTGCCACAAAACTAGTCCGTTTACGAGCACTTTTAGAACTTTCTTTTAATTACCTTATTTTTGTGCAAATTTTATCCATAATGACCGCTCCTCTTCATTTTACCAACTTTGTAGTGTTCCGTACTAAATTCAGCAAAACGGAAGACTCATGAAATCCCCTCACATGTCTCTAACAGATGTTTTTAACCAAAATACTTTTAATAAAATCGAAATAATAGTAAATAGGTGACACGGAGCGTTAGTTATGGATAAGATGCACTTGGCCAAATTCTGTTTCAACAACAAAGTTTACATTTCAATATAACAGTTATTTATATGATATTTTTTTTATTTAGTATATAATATATTGTAACTGTCTTGCGACGCGTAAATTTACTCCTGTTTTACTATTCTTGACTAACGCTGGGAAATAAATTTTGAATTGATTTTTAAACCCGCGATATAAATAAAAATACAAAAAGAAATTTGGTTTTTCTACTGTGTAGAATTTTAATTTTAATTTTTCGTATTGATGTTGGATTACAAAACGAAATACAATATAAACCTTTTAACACATTTTATTGCGTTTTAAGTCCATAGATATGTGTGACAAAATGTGTAAAACATTAATATTTTATATAAAAATATTCAAGTATAAACTCTAATACCAGTTCAATCATATTGTGTATATTATTGATTCTGTGCAATGTTCGCTCGTAAGTAGTATGATAGTATGACGCGCTTGATGTATGACGTTTGATTGTAATTAGACTTAAAAAAAGAATAAATATTTTTTTTACACACGACTTGTCTTATTTAATATAAAAAGCAGATCATGATATTAAATACTTTTTATTTAATTAAGTAACATTATAACATACAATATATTTGTGGCATTCCTGGGGGAGGCCTATGTTCAGCAGTGGATTTGTGAAGGGCTGTAATGATGATGATAACATACATAACATTGGCGCCCCTCTTGTGGCCATATATTAGAAATTACAACTATTTATTTTGCGAATACTACTTGCGACTACTTATATCATAATTTTGGCCTTGGACGGAAATGGGAGCTCACCACTGCAATTGGTGACTGCTGTCGTCGATACGCACATTCTTCGTTTATGAACTCTCACGCGTGCCTAGTTGACCTTAGGGATAATCCGCCACTGATTTTGCGGTGTTGTACCAGAAACGAGCGTTTTCTTGCTGAATGACTATTCTTAGCCTTTGTGTGAAAAAACCAGCCGTCTTGTCACCAGCGGCGATAACCAGTCGCGGCTACAGTTCCTTTTAGACACTTGACTGCACGTAGAGTCTAAATGAATATATTAAATTTAATTTCAATTAATAAATACGCAGGCCAGCCTCCGTTCTTACCATCCCGTGCTGAGCCGTCATATAGCATTTTTGTTTTGGTTAATTTTCTGTAGTTTAATATGCATGCCATGCTGCAGCTATATTTGTCGTATAGCTGTAGCATGAATGGGTCGGCTCGACCGGGGAAGGACCACGCACTCACAGAATACCAGCTTAAAATAGCAGCTTAACACTGCTGTGTTTCGTATGGTGAGTTTAGAGAACCGGAGACCCTTTTTACTGGAAAAGAGGCACTCCATCTTACTCCTCATGGGTGACAACGCATTTTGATTCACAAACGATGATAGATGGAGATGTCTATGGGCCATAGCAACCATTTACCATCAGGTGGACTGTGTGCTCGTTTGTCACTCTATCCTATAAAAAAAAGTTTTTATTTAAAACTAGCTTTTCCCCGCGATTTCGCATGCACATTTTATTTTTAAAAGAATCTTTAATATAACTCATTGGTCTTCAGCAATCATTTCTTTTTTCATATGAAAATAAAAGACAAGAATATAATTAGAAAGATACATTATTATCACAGCAACAAAATAAAAAATAAAGTCGAAAAAAAAACGGAAATCAGGTTATTTTATACAGTAATTAACGCCTAACTTAGTGATTATCTGATGTGGTTATAATACTCGTATTATAATAATCGTAAGACTTGAGTGGCGTAAGAAAATCCATAATTTCAATTTAGTCCCTTGGGTGCCGCAAGAAGCAATTACGGAGATTTTTTTTATAGGATAGGGTGGCAAACGAGCAGACAGTCCACCTGGTAGTAAGTGGTTGCTGTGATCTATAGACATCTACATTTATCCTCGTTTGCGAATCAAAATGCAGTTTCGTTGTCACCCGTGAGGACTAAGATGGATTGCCTCTTTTCCAGTAAAAAGGCTCTCCGGTTCTCTACACTCACCATACGAAATACAGCAGTGTTAAGCTGCTATTTGACGCTGGTATTGTGCGAAAGCGTGGTCCTTCCCCGGGCGAGCCGACCCATTCGTGCTACAACTATTCTACTAATATAGCTGCAGCATGACTCTACCACGTATAAATGATGGTAGCGTCATCTCATTTGCGCCAGTCGTAAAACGTTCAGTCCGGCAACGAGGAACAGCGTCAAAGATACGCGACGTCTAATGTCACTATCACTAATCCATCTACCAAGCGTGGCGATTATGTCGAATTCTCCTCACAGTTGAAGCATTATGGAAATTATGTACAGAACTTCATAATAAGCGGTCAGTGTTTTAGCTATCCTCACTATCATCATCAGTCACCCATAAATTCAAGCGTAACTTTAGTTTTTTTTTTTTTATTTATAAACTTAATATAAATTCGTACGTGATAGAGCCATGCTGTAGCTATATTAGTAGTATAGTTGTAGCACGAATGGGTCGGCTCAACCGGGGTAGGACCACGCTCTCACGGAATACCAGATTCGAAAAAATCACAAAATAGCAGCTTAATACTGCTGTGTTTCGTATGATGAGTACAGAGAATCGGAGACCCTTTTTACTGGAAATGAGGCATTTCGTGTTAGTCCTCAGGGGTGAAAACGAATCTGCATTTTGATTCTTAATCGAAGATAAATGAAGATGTCTGTTGGCCACAACATCATCTTACCATTAGGTGGACTGTGTGCTCGTTTGTCATCCATATTCTATAATTTAAAAAAATATTGCAACACGCTAATATTACTTATTACATCAAAGTATGTTATTTGAAATTAATTGAATTCGAACGTTAGTTGTTCAGTGTAGTTAGATAGTTAACTAGGTAAGAGAAAACCGATCTGAGAGTATCCTTTAGTCATCTAGTATACTCCATTATGTAATTTTTACTTGTTCTCTGCCTTCGTGGTGCTGTACAAACGTTGACTGAAAGTGAATGCTTTAAGCATTAAGTCCTCTGTAATTTAACGACGCCAAATAACAGTGCGTGCTCTGCTGCATTTCGGTCACAAGAATATTGAATAGTTTTGAGATGCTTATACTTTTGGAAAGATTCGTCGACTTATGGATGTGGCTCCTGCTACATTAGTTTACTTTAATTAATTTCACTGCATAATGTCTTACAGTATTTTATTGCGTGGACATGAAACTGACGTGAAGACCGTTTTTATTGTCATTCATTAGGCAGTACATTCGAATATATAATAGAATTCCTTGTAATATTTTAAACCTTTCCGAAATAAAATTCAGACATCGGAAACGATATGTAAGTAATTGTTAAAATTTCCATCAACAGTGCAATTTATAAAACACACAAACTCTATATTACAATTTAAATGTGCAAAATGACATATTACCCAAATGGAAAACCTAATCTAACCGTAGATAAAATAAAACCATTAATTTAAAGCAATTACTGCATTTTTTGCAAGTTTGCTAAGCGGTTAATAATAACAACATGACTTGCAGTTTTTGCAATTAATGATAGAGTCTGATATCAAAGAGAATTTAACAACGTTTCAGCTGGTATGAGAGCGGTATTGCAAGATATAAATAGCCATATGCACATAGTAAAGGCTAGACGATCGTCTACATATTGAAAACTTTGAATAAAAATTACTAAATAATTAAATAACTTCAGAAGTTGGTGCTACGACATAGTTTATAGAACGACGACTGGGTTGCAGCGCTAAGGGCCGCGGGTTCGAATCCCGCACGGAACAAGTATTTGTATGGCCTACAAATAAATGTTCTGGGTCTGGATGTTTGTTCTTGTGAAATCTGTGTATGTAAACTGCCCCCGCGATACAGGAGAAAATCCTAGTGTGCAGGTAACGTTTTAAAAAAATATATTTATATTTCTATAGCGTCTAATTTTTTGACCTTTTTGAGTGAACTAAGGAACATCAAAAGTTCGACTGTCGTTAAATAGTTACTTTCAAAATTTGAACCCCTATTTTTCAACCGTTAAAGATGGAATTTTTCTCCGAATTTATTTGGGACTACCGCTGAAGTATAACCTACTTAATAAAAGGAATCATCAAAATTGGTCCACAATTGACGAAAGTATCGAGTAACAGAAAATAACATACACTCGAATCGACATATTTCTCCTTTTTTTAAAGTCGGCTAAAAACTTATTAATATTATTTATAATAATTAATATTTATTTGGCGATTAGTACGCAATATAAATAAAACATGGACATGCTTTTCATTATTGTTTATTATACAGTACATTACTAAACCCTGATATGGACCGTAACATTAATAAGCGACCAACATTAAAACTATAGCATCAGAACATCATCACCACAGCCTATCGAAAATCCACCGCTGAAAATAGATTTGCCTCAAAGGCGATGATGCTTGCCATAGTTACCTCTCTTTTTTATTATACAAGTAAAGTAAAGTAAAATATACTTTATTGTACACCAAGGAACATATTACAGTATTTATATATTTAAAAGGACATTGGTACAACAGGCGGCCTTATCGCTAAAACAGCGATCTCTTCCAGCCAATCTTAGGGCAGAGGATACTATTTTAAAAGATAGCGGAAGGGGTGTTCAAAATATAATATAGAAAGATAAATAGAAGAACATAAGTGATTAAAGGAAAAAAAAATAAAAAAGTGAATGACGACAGGTAGTAACTTAAGAGGAAATGTAATAAAGATTTAATTTATTTTTAAATATAGGAAGAGATTTAGGTTATTTAATATGTAAGGGGAGAGAATTCCATAGTCGTATAGCGGTAACCGTAAAAGAATTAGAATAGAAGGAAGAGGAATGTCTAGGAGTAGTTAGAAGGAGATTATTTTTAGATCGTAGAGGTAAAGAGTGTAAACTACTTAAATATATAAATCGGTCTTTCAAATAAGAAGGAGTGGTCGGATTGAACAGAATGCAGTAAAGGAGATGAAGAATGTGAGTATTCCTGCGAAGGTGAATCGGTAACCACTTGAGCTTATGGCGGAATTCGGATATGTGGTCATACTTTCGTAACCCAAATATAAACCTTATGCAATAATTTTGAAGCCGCTCAAGTTTATTAAGTTGCTCGACTGTTAGGTCAAGATAACAAGTGTCCGCGTAGTCAAGATAATGTTGATGGAAGACGCTGCTGTGCATCTCCTGTTTTGTTTCCCTTTACCGCCTCTTTCGACACCCATGGAAGATATGGTGTAGTGGATATTCTTACACCGCGACTACTCGCTAAAACTAGGGTATGCTAAATATTAACTGTTTATAACAACGTCTGTAATTGCGTTTTTTCTACCTAGGTGTCCGTCTCGGTAGGTACCAGCTTTTTACCTATACCCGCCACTGCTGTTTTCCGGTTTGAAGGATATCGGGTTCCGGAGCCAGTATAATTACAGGTTTTGCGGTGTTCAATTCAATTTGAAGTTACATATACTAAGGTTGGTAGAAAAACGTTAGCATTTAAAAAAATAATTAGAGAGGTGCAATATGCTCTAAATAAATTCAATTTTACCTACCTAGAGCACCGCGCAAACCTGTGAAACAACATATTTGCCCTAGCCGATAGGGATGCACCGATATATCGGGATTTACGTGCTTTCCGAGGCACGGTGGTGAGACACCGCCAATTTCCGACTCCGGGCAGCTACTGAAAATTTCTTGGTGGAAAAGCTCAATAACTGATTTTTGTTGTCCGACCCGGGATACGAACCCTAGACTAAGGAGTCAGTAAAACCCGAATTACTACGTTGGATACTTTTGCTAACCAGTTAAAATACGCAAAAAGATATGATTTCAGCCCAGACGGACAGCTAAAGGCAAAAAAATCAGACATTAAAGGTCACCCTTAGCTACACACAGCTATGATGTGGAAACAACGAGGTTTGAATAAATAAACAATAACTTATGCCCTAGCTAGTGTACTGGTGTACTGGATAAGTGCTGACGCGTCTGAAATTAAAAGATATCAAAATGTCGAAAATCAAGGCAGGGCCTGTTGTTGACGTGCTTGGTGATGAGATGACAAGAATTATTTGGGATCTTATTAAAAATAAGCTTGTTCTGCCATTATTGGACATAAAATTACATACTTACGACTTAGGTATCGAATACCGTGATAAAACTGAAGACCAAGTAACTATTGACTGTGCTAATGCTATAAAAAAATACAATGTTGCCATTAAATGTGCAACAATTACCCCTGATGAAAAGAGAGTCGAAGAATTTAAGCTGAAGAAAATGTGGTAGAGCCCTGATGGGACAATTAGAAACATTCTTGGTGGTACTGTGTTCAGAGAAGCTATCATTTGTAAGAACATTCCTCGTCTGGTAGCTGGTTGGGAAAAACCAATAATTATTGGCCGTCATGCCACCTTCTGGGGAGGCTATTAAATATGTGGTCAATGAATTTAAAGGTCCTGGTGTCTCCCTTGGTATGTTTAATACTGATGCCTCCATTGTTGATTGTGCGCATTCTTCATTTAAGTTTGCTTTGGACAGAAAATACCCACTGTATCTCAGTACCAAAAACACTATTCTGAAAAAGTATGATGGTCGTTTCAAAGATATTTTCCAAGAAATTTGTGAGAAAGACTACAGATCACAGTTTGAGGTTGTCACTGCTCAGATGGCGCTAACCATCTGAGCCGTGGTAACTCAGATGGTTAGCGCCGATCGTTATTATAGTTACTTTCACAGCATAATGTCGAGAAGGGCAAAGTCTTCCACATGTGCTATACCTACTTGCGAACAGGTGCTGCTTGCAGAAAATGTGGTCGGGCAAGTACCTAACACATTTATTGATTTTTATTTTTTATTATGTAATTAGGGTTCCGTACCTCAAAAGGAAAAAACGGAACCCTTATAGGATCACTTTGTTGTTCGTCTGTCTGTCTATCTGTCTGTCAAGACCCTTTTTCTCAGGAACGCGTGGAATATCAAGCTGAAATTCATCTCTAATACTCAAGTCTACTGTCCCTTGGAGCTGTGAAAAAATCAAACTTCTAAGCTAACGCAATCAAAAGATGCTGTATCTTATATCGTTTATGCCACAAATTTTCGACATTCGCAAGGGAATCAAAAGCTACAGGGTACTTTCCGTGAACTCATAATCTTAAAATTTGGTACGAAGCAACGTATTATAGCACAGATAAAGGAAAAATTGCGAAAAGCACTCGCACTTTGCCGCTTTTTTTTATTACTTATAGATCACACTTATATTACCTATGGTTCTATTATTTTTCGTTTTGATTAAGAATGTGGTGTTATTGAAATTTAAAATAATGACTTAATGGGGTATTTTATTATTTATTTTTATTATTTATTTTCTTACGTCGAAAAACAAAGAGATTTCATTCCTTTTATATTCTATGAATCAAACTATCATCAGCACATGTCTTCAAATGGATATATTAAAAGACAACTATAGGAAATACCAAAAACACTCAAATATTCCTATATTTAGAGGTACAAAAAACAGCCATTCCGTTTACGACAGGCTTAAAATACCCAGGCCTAAGACTGGCAGCGGCGTCAAAGCTGCAAGATGTCTGGTACTATGACGACCAATCGAAATGCCAATTAGGGCAAATCTTCCTTATAACGTGGGGGGTCCATGTCCAATATAGTAGATTTTTGCGGGCTGTCTGATCTTTCTCTTTCACTTCACATTTGCTTAGATTATTTGGCTACCTTAAAGTGAACTTAGCTTTCATCATAATACCAGAAAAGCTTCTGGACATAAAGAATTAATAACATTAACGGGAGATAGAACAATTGGATGATTACATATGAGGCTTATGATTAATTAAAATATCAACTTTTTGCACTAATGCTCCTTCCTATGTATTTTGAGTACAATAATAATTGAAGCAGGCCCTAGTCGAGAATGCGCCTATTGGTTTGTAGATAGCAATGTATAGAAATCACATGTTTCTTCTTCGTTGCTATTTTGTTTAACGAATTATTTATAATTTTCATCACATATATTATTAGACTTGGTTAGTATGTTACACTAAAATAAAATGACACACTAAAGATTTTTTTAATGTTGCGTATTAGAATTAACACCTACGAAAAAAAATACACTAAAATGACGCACCGCGCCTCTAATTCCGTGCTTTGTGCAATTTTACAATCATACAACGTGATGATTTTACAAATTGTGTTTAACCCCCGACGAAAACATCAACCTTTACAATTTCCCAACAATTTAACGTCCCCGCTATGAAATCTGTCAATTATTATTACCTCACTTTTAAGTGGCGCCGCCCTGTTAGCAGAAAAAGTCGTGGATCATTCCGTGCGCTGTGAAAAAATTTTACAATCATACAACGTGATGATTTTACAAATTGTTTTTAACCCTCTACGAAAACAGAGGGGTGTTATAAGTGTGTAGTGTGTATCTGTGTATCTATGTGGCTATCCGTGGCATCATAGCTCCTGAACGTATGAACCTCTTTTGATTAAGATTTTTTCGTTTGAAAGGCGTCTTAATCGAAAGTGTTCTTAGCTAAGTACGTTTCGAGAAAATCTGTTCAGCCGTTCAAAGATCAACAGGTCTTTTTGTTTTATTTTATACAAGAACCCCTACTACCTTTAAAATAACCTTCTTTAATGTAGATGCATAGAGATAAGCACTTTATACATTTTTAACAAGTTTGCGCACTTTCTGTACAGTTATTTTGTTCACTTCTCATTTCAGAGTAACCTTTAACTAATTGACACTTCTGTGACATATACCACAGGTTTCTTACATTTAATATTTTAAGATAGAACATGAATAGTGATCCAAATTTTTGTTTGTCTATATAGCTGTCTGGCCTAAGCTTTGGAATGGCTGAACCGAATGTAATGAAACTTCACGAATAGCTAGAGAGCAATTCCAGGAGTGATTTAGATTATATTTTATCCGAAAAATACTAATTGATTATTTAAAATCTTTTACTTTACTTACTTATCTTCACGCACAATCCCTGACGGGGTAGCCAGAGAGAACAGATCGCCAAGTGTCACGATCCTTACAAACCTCTTTCGCTTCTTTCAGATTCATTATCTTCTTCATGCATGCACGTCTAGGTATCCGAGTACTTTTGACCCTACCCTCTTCGAGCAATTTGCTCACATGGTCTTCGAAAGTTAGTCTCGGTCTACCTCGACACCTTTTAATATTAACTTTCGCGCTATATATTTTCTTCACCATTCGGTCTTCACTCATTCGCTCAACGTGCCCAAACCACCGAAGCACGCCCTTATCAATTTTTGTGATAAGTTCATCTTTCAAACCTGCCATATTGCGAATCTCTTCGTTTCGCTTTCGGTCGGCCATAGTAACGCCGCACATTTTACGAAGAGATCGCATCTCCACTGCATTCAACTTACTTTTATGCTCCTTCTGGCATACCCAGGTTTCGCTGCCATATAACAAAGTCGGTACCAACACTGCGTTATGTATTGCAAGGCGTGCACTCTTCGCTACGCCTTGCCTTTTGACTAACGCAGTCAGGGCACCATTGACTTTGTTCCCGGCAGCGACACGCCTGTCCACATCTAAATCACATCTTCCATCCCGGCTAAAAGCACTCCCCAAGTATACAATTTCATTTACCTGTTCTAGACATTCCTGTTTTACCCATATTTCACACTTCGTTCTCTCTTCGTCCCTTTCAAATACCAGATTTAAAATCTTTGATTGTCTTAAATCTCAATAACACCTGTCGGTGAGAGCTCACGCACACATCGCTGCGCTATGTATGGGTGTACTCGCAGCGAGCCGTTTGTATGTAGCTTCCCCTCTGGTCGGTTTCTTTACTCATGTGTCAAAGCTGCAAGATGTCTGGTACTATGACGACCAATCGGAATGCTAAGTATGGCAATTAAAGCAACTCTTTCTTATAACACGAGGGATCCATGTCCAATTATAGTAGATTTTTACGGGCTTTGTGATCTTTCTCTTTCATTTCAAATTTGCTTAGATTATTTGGCTAACCTTAAAGTGAACTTAGCTTTCATCATAATACCAGAAAAGCTTCTGGACTTAAAGAATTAATAACATTAATAGGAGATAGAACAATTGGATAATTACATATGAGGCTTATGATTAATCAAAATACCAACCTTTTTAAACATATAACAACATTTTTCGCACTAATGCTTCCGCCTATGTATTTTGAGTACAATAATAATTGAAACAGGCCATAGTCGAGAAGGCGCCTATTGGTATGTATATGGCAACGTATAGAAATCACATGTTTCTTCTTCGTTGCTATTTTGTTTAACGAATTATTTATAATTTTCGTCTATAATATAAAAATGAATCGATGAATGTGTTGCTAAGCGCAATTCTCTAGAGCAGCTGGACCGATTTCGCTAATTCTTTTTTATAATATTCCTTGAAGTACGAAGATGGTTCTTACGGAGAGAAAAATTTTAAAAATTGCCCGAAAAAGTTTAAAAACAACAATTTTCTATATTCCCATACAAAAAATTCGTAACAATACTTAAAAGTCAATTTGAAGTTTAATACTATACTATAAAGTTTAAGTGTTAGTGGAGGGGTTCCGGGAAGGCAAAACAATTGAGTAACGTTAGTATCGTATAAATATTAATGTCAATATTTGTCAATATTTATACACACTAGGAGATAGCTGATGTTATAAGGAGTAACTTGGGCTGCTTTTATTTTAGGGTTCCGCGAAAAATAACTCCACGCGGGTGAAGTCGCGGGGAACAGCTAGTCACATATATTATTAGACTTGGTTAGTACTCAAGACATGTAAGGGCTCAAAAAGCCAGGTATGCTGATCACTAAAATAAAATGATACACTAAAGGTTTATTTTTAATGTTGCGTATTAGAATTAACGCCTACGAAAAAAATACACTAAAATGTCGCGCCGCGCCTCTAATGAGGGCTAATCATTTTCTGCTCACCAGATGTCGCTAGTTTACACTGAAGTAAAGTTTTTGTTACACAATGTCATTTAATTGAGAAGTTAGTTTTAAATAAAAGTTTATAAGTTTCTAGAGTATTATATTAATACACAAAACAATGCCTCATGCCTGGTTTGATCTTTAATTTTTTGCACATTTTAAGCTTTTTTTTTTAATTTTTCTACTTTTATGAATATTTGTGATTTGGTATAATATTTATTTTTAATCTTATTAATATCAAATATAGTTAATAGTGCAGAAAGAAACATCAACCTTTACAATTTCCGAACAATTTAACTTCCCCGCTGTAAAATCTGTC